AGAAGAACCCATCCAGAGGACCTACTTATTTTTTCTTTTTGATTTTTTTCTACCTGGATTACTAAGATGCATCAGGACATTATTATATAACATTTTAGACACTTTCTAGATAGTTTATCAGCTAAAAAAAGTTAATTTTGGGGTAAGTTACCCTTTAACAACACCAAAGTGGCTACAACACAATTATTTTACAGCTATCAACGTCAAACTTGATTTGATGATAGTCATCAGTGCTGCAAACTCCGAGCACCAACTGATTGAGCAAAAATCTGTCCAAAACTGAGTGATCAGCACTCTGTCAGTGAATGCTATTTACACTGATTTTATCTAMTGTGATGGATCGTCAGAAATTTTATTATTTAATTATTTTTTCCTTCTTTGGAATCAATAAAGCATTTTTGAATTCAATTAAATAAAAAGAATAAAAAGAATAAAAATTGTCTTTTTAAATGTACTCAAGATGACTGAAGGAAAAAAAAGGGCCAGTTAGACCGACTTACTCTCAGGCACATCCTGTTCGTCTGTGAAGTCATATGGGCTGTAGGGCTCACTGCTCTGCGAGCCACGCCGCCCCCTGCAGGACACAACCGGAAGTGTTACAGGCTGAGCAACAACGAGAACTTTGGAAATAGTTTGTTTTTGGTGCCATCACCTTTTCCGAGTTCTCTGTGAAGGCTGCGTGGGCGCCATCTCCTCGTCTTCTTCCTCCGAACCAGAGTCTCGATCCTGCCTCGAGCGCTTTTTCTCCTTCTCAAGAACCTTGAGTGAAACAAAACTTTGATGTTACGGATAAAGTCCTCTCTTGGCTGAGCGCTGAGAGACTGAAAGAAAAGAAACCTTTTTAAAGTAGGCAAACTGGACGAGCTCCACGGCCACCTCCGTGTCCTCCAGCTCCACAGCTTTGCTCATGCGGGCCTTGGCGTGCGCCGTGGACAGACGGATCAGGGTCTCCAGAGTCCGGGCCGTCACCGGAGAGGTCTGGGCGGAGAGGGAACTGGGTCAGAATGTACTCTGGCTAAAAGCACACTGAATGTTTTAATACTCAGTCCAGGTTTTTACTTATATCCAATTTCTTAGCATGATTTTTCACATTAGTTTATTTGCGACCATCAGACTGTTATTAAAACATCAATATGGGTCATATATGGTCAAAAAAACATTACAAATAATAAAGATTAGATTTGGATCACTGAAGGTAAACTATGTTTAATCTCTGTTCACCCTGGCAAGATCAGCTCCCAGCTGCTCCTGGCTCCTCAGCCTGGAGTACTCCTCTGCGATGTGATTGGCTGCCTCCTCAGTCAGCACCGGGGTGATTGCTTTGGCGATGTGGATGTACTTCCTCATGAACTCCTTACTCACAATCTTGTCCCTGGAAGAAAAGAAAATGCAGAAAAATTTTTTTTAAATGTTGCATCTGCTGCATCTTTGGGTTTTCATGAAAAAGAAACAGAGGTGAATCGTTTTACTTCTTCTTCCTGCTTCCGTGCAGCAGGTTGTTGTGTTTCTCGTAAATCTGCAGCTCCTCGTGCTCCTCCCCAAGTGCGTCGGGGTCGTCGGTGGCCAGAACGTCCACTGTCCCACCCAAAGCCATGGCTGGTGGACAAAGCACAGAGAAGCGTGAGGCATTTCTCCTGCTGCAGAGCAGATGTGCTCCTTTGTTCTGAGAGACGCTGGTACCTGCTCCTTCCTGCTCCCGTGGGTCGCGGTAGCGATGCATCCTCAGGACGTGGTCTGAGATTTCACGGTCCTGCTCGGGGTCCATTTGATCCAGCATGATGAAGAGGAGGTCGAAACGGGACAGGAGGGAGTCCTGCAGGCCGATGTTCTCCATGGGGGTTTTATACTGATTGTACTGCAGAGGAGGAGGAGTACAGGGAGCAGGTTTTTAATTTAAAAAACAAACACAAAAAAACACATAAAAACATGTCAACAAGGTCCAGTCCATCAGTCTGTGTGAACTTCAACAAGACAGAACTCAACACCAACCGTCACCAAGGTCCCACATCGCCAGTCAGTAGTGACCAAGAGTTAGCAGTTTTGTTGGGATCATCACAGCCTTCATTATTTAAATCATCTCATAAGGTGAACCGATGTCAATTAGGCAGAGGTGTCAAGTAACTAAGTACAAATACTTTGTTACTTTACTTAAGCAGTAATTTTGATAATTYATACTTTTATTCTGCACCTGTCATTACCTGGCTTACTTATTTAATTACTTATTCACTTTCAAGGCAACATTTTTATCTTTATCTTTAATCTTTCTTTGAAAAGAATAAAATGCCTGAGAATTAATAATTTTCATTTAATAAACAGTTGTAGTACATTATAGTTTTGGAGAATCATCATTACGTTTGACTGAAGGGGTATTACAAAATGGCTTGGGGTAAACAAGTCTCAAAATGTTGGGAACCACTGAGGTAGAAGATGTAGCCTAGCATGAAGATGACCGTGGCTGAAACAATAGTCTAGCCTGGCCCTTGCCTTCCCACGCAGTTCTGCTCAATTTTAGTTTCCCTTACCAGGTTAAGTCTGGTCAGTTAATTCCAAATTTTTCAACATTTTAATTTAACATTATACTCATTATTTACTTTAGAAGAAAAATTGTGTGTGTGTGTGGGGGGGGGGGGCTATAAACCCTGAGGCACAGCCTAAGATTTTATCTTTAATGGCCTTTTTTTTATAGTGTTCATTACTTTTACTTTTATACTTTAAGTAGTTTTAAAACCAGTACTTTTATACTTTTACTTGAGTAAAAAAAATCAAGTTGATACTTCTACTTGCAAAAAAGGTATTTTTAAACCCTAGTATCTATACTACTACTTAAGTAATGAATGTGAATACTTTTGACACCTCTGCAATGAGGCCACGCCCCCTCAAAAGTGGACCGCATTCCTGTAGTGCAGGGGTCTGCAACCTGCGGCTCTGGGGCCACATGTGGCTCTTTGGTCCCTCTGCAGTGGCTCTTTGAAAATGTGACCAAACACAACATAATTTTTTGTTTGTTTTTATACTCACAACACTAATAGATTTTATGCAAATATGTAATCAATACTACAATACAAAAAGTAAAATATGTTAGCTTATGCTAGCCTGTTTTCTACCTAAATAATCCAACTTCTTTCTATAATCTTTCTCTCAAATCTATCAGGGTTATCGTTAAACACCTTTAGGACTATATAATAAGAATTAGAGAGAAAAAATGTCTGACTAGTTCAGCTGCACTAGTTTTTATGAAATTCTGTATAAACTATCGTCAGTATTGTTCTTGTGCATGAATGTTTTTTCTTCAGTCTTGAAGTGTAAAACTAATAAATAATAAAAATCACAATTTATTTTTTAGGTTTATGTCACCTCCACCGGCCATAAAGGTTCACAAAAAGGCCTTGAAAAGGCCCACGGACCACCAGTTGATAATCACAGTTGTAGCATATTTTGCAGCTCTGGGCACATTTCATTAKSGAGCCGAGGAGCAGTAATGGCTCTCTTGATTGTAAAGGTTGCAGACCCCTGGTTTAGTGGGATAGTTTAGGATCGACCACAGTGAATTCAGTGCTAACTTCTAACTTATGAAGCTCTCAACAACCAAGCTCCATCTTATTGTTCCATACTTTCCTAACAGAGCACTTCGCTTTCAGACTGCAGGTTTACTTGTGGATCCTCGAGGAATGGGAGGCGGAGCTTTCAGTTATYGCTCCTCTCTTCCAGTTTGCTGCCATTTTTACTTCCATTTCCATATCTGTAAGTATTTCTGTTAATATCATGTTTTGACCTTTAGTCTACACCTGAACCAGTCATTCTGTGTTTGTGCTACTTTTGTTGGCCTCTGCTGCATGAGGCGTCCTGTAACTGGAGGGTTGCCGGTTCRATCCTCTGTTCCAAAAGTCTCAGTCGTTGTGTCCTTGGGCAAGACTCTTCACCCACCTTGCTTACTGATGGTGGTCAGTGGCGGTGGCACCGGTGCATGGCAGCCCCGGCTCTATCAGTGTGCTCCAGAGCAGCTGTGGCTATAATGTAGCTTACCACCATCAGTGTGTGAATGTAGTGTTAGGCGCTTTGGGCTCCCCATGGGGTTTGATAAAGTGCTGTATTAGTTCAGTCCATTTACCATTTAAACTTGTTATTTAATGTCTGATGCTTCCTGTTTTCAGTCACACTGGTTTGTCTTCGAAGCCTAAACTTCAAACACTTTTAGCCGACGACATTGAACACATCTCTAGCTGCGTTTCCATTGACCAAGAAAATGCGCAAATTAGAATTTCGAAAATAAATTTGCTCAAYGGAAACACGTCAATTTCGTTAAAAAATTACGTTTTTCGACAAAATGTTTTTGCGCTAGGATGAGGTGGTTTTCCAGCCGTATCAAAATTGTGTTTTTCACAAAACTGCAATGGAAACACTTTTTTCGCATCACGGGAGTCACATGATCACAACCGGCTGTTTCTACTGGTAAAAAAAGACGACGACGAAGAAGATAACAGTAAGTAGAAATAGTAGTAAAATCACAGAAGTAGTATAAAATAGTAAACTCACCGACTACAATTTCCCAAAAACACAGCATACGTAGCCGCTCCCAAGTAGGGACTTGTTGCTGGAAAACCTCGATAAAAGATGCCAACGTCTCCTCTGATGATGAGCGCTAGTGTCGACGTAGCAACATGCTACGTGTTTACATCCATCGTCGCCATGTTTGTAATGACTTATCGCGAGAATAAGCATATTCACGCGTGACTTTAATAGCATTTCTTACTTAATGGAAACACCGCAGTTGCAAAACTGTGTTTTTTCGACATTAACAGAATATCGACAAAGTTTTGTGCACATTTGCAATGGAAACGCAGCTAGTGTCATGCGTCTCTCACCCTGCCGTAGACGGGGTTGGCTGCAGCCAGCACGGAGCAGCGGGCGTTCAGCCTGGCGTGGATCCCGGCCTTGGCGATGGTGACCCGGCCCTGCTCCATCACCTCGTGGATGGCCGTGCGGTCCATGTCGGACATCTTGTCGAACTCGTCGATGCACACCACGCCACGGTCAGCCAGCACCATGGCGCCTGCCTCCAGACGACGCTCACCTAGTAAAGACAGGTTGAAGAACTTTCAGAGTTGAACAAATTCACAAGAACATTTCTTTAAAAAGAAACGGGAGGACAAACTGAAGGTACCGGTCTCTTGATCGGTGGTGACGGCAGCAGTCAGACCAACACCTGAGGAGCCCCGCCCTGTGGTGGGGATGGCCCTGGGTGCCGTGTGCAGCACGTAACGCAGCAGCTGGGATTTGGCCACCGATGGATCACCTGAAAAGAGCGCATCTTGACCTGAGCCTCACTTATACAACCCAAACTGAGCTGAAACATTGAAAGAAAGAGAAAAACTCGGGGGTACCTATGAGCAGGATATTGATGTCTCCTCGGATGCGTGTGCCGTTCTCCAGCACCTTCTCCACGCCGCCCAGCAGCATGCAGAGGATRGCCTTCTTGATGTAGTCGTGCCCGTGGATGCTGGGAGCCAGCGAGCGAGCCAGCTGGTCAAACACATTCTGGAAATGAAAAACTTTGTTTAGCTCCCTTAATATTCAACATAAAACCAAACACACACATATGTGAGAGAAATCGACGTACGATGGAGCGAGTCTGACAGAAATTTCGGATTTTGGCCACATCGCTGGCGGAGAATATGGGCGACACTTCCTTGCTCATCTGTTTGACGTGGCTCGCGATCATGATGGTCCTGTTAGAAACAGGAGTCCGTTTGAAATGAACACAGCTGTGAGAGCAACGTTCTGAAGCAAACAGGACTCGATCCCACCTGAATGTGCCGGACGTGAACCCTCCCTTCTTCCCGGGCAGGCAGCGGTACGTCCCAATGACCTGCACTCTGTCTCCAGGTTTGACCACGTCCACCAGGTCGTTGTCCAGGATGATGTCCACAGAGCGAGGCAGCTGGCCAGCGGGGGCTTTCTCTGGCATCTCCTGCACCGTGATGGTCTGATGGTCCTTGTAGATGGACAGGCCAAATTCTGTCTCTAGAGGGTTGTTCTCCTCGTCCTGTTGGGTCAGAGGTTAACGTGTGGTTCTGTTTGCTCAGTGACATTTTGCTCTGCTTTGTGAAGAACACAGAATCGGGGTTGAGTACCTTAGTGGGGTAAATGGCGCTGGAGGGGAAGGCATCAAGCGAGGTCAGGTCTGTGTATTTTCTCTCCATCGTCTTCTTTGTGGCTGGACAGTAGTGGACACTGCGCACAACTTTGGGACGCACAAGAGAACCTGCAAAAAGCAACGCTCAACCTTTATCAACTAATCACAGTTTAACGACAAAGACTCGCTCCAAAGCAAAGGTTAAACCCAAAGTGTTGTGGTTAAAGATCAAAGGCGACGCGCTCACATTTCGTGACGATGCCCTCCACACACACCATGCTGCCCAGCAGCCTGGAGGTCAGGGTCCGGGGGGAGACGTGCTTGGAGCCGAAGCTGCCCTCCAAGCCCACGAAGAACTCCTCATGCTGCTTGGCGTAGGTGCCGTCCACCGAGGCCACCAGGTCCTTCAGAGCCCGCTGGAACGCCAGCAACTCCTCGAAGGCGTTGTTCATCAACCTGAGGAACGAGTTACACACTTCAGATTACTACTGAAAACCTAACATCAACTTTCTTCTTTAAAGCAAGAATCCGWTGACGTGCACTGACAAAACGTTGACCTCGTGATGTAAGCTCTAAAGAAATGTTAACGCTGCACTGCACCTCTCAATTACACAAAGTTGTTTTCAGTCAGAAAAACTAATATTTTAACAACAGACACTACACCACTGTAGACAGTAGTGTTGGGCATAATCGTATCGTGTGCAATTAATCATCAGAAAAACATTAATGGATTAGTTTTTGTCACTTGACGATTAATACGATTGATTAATGCCACCAGGCAGACTGACTGGGGATTACTCCGGTCAGTCCGCTCGCTGCTCCTCTCTGCTTCAAATATGACGAAC